GGGTAAGCCATAGCAGTGGTCCATGCGTCAACATCCACCACACTGTCTGACACATGGTAGGCACCATTGATGAAGGAATGAGTGATTAATTCCTCTCATTGCTTGATTCATGTAGTTTCTAATGTGCCCGAAAACAGAGGAAGCATTCCCAAGGCACCAGTTAGATCGCCTTTTAAGACTTGCCTCACAAATTTCACACATTTGAAAAAGAAGAAGATATAAATAGTAATGAGACAGTTCATGGAAATAGAAGCTGTAGTAACTGTTGGGAGGATCCCCTATGGTGCAGAGGAAGGCAGCTCTGGGAGTGAAGTTGAGTATTTTCAGGGGAGATAGAAATGTTTTAAAGAGATATTCAAAGCGACTCGCTAGAAATGTGGTAGTAGGAAGTACTTCAAATTATAGCACTTCACTGGAAAATTCTGCTTTTACATAACATTTATAGAATATATTTGGGACTTTTTTTGAACTCAGAAATAACATTCTGCAAACTGTAAGAAAATGTAAAAATGCAGTGAAAAATGTATTCATATCTAATGACACCAAATTCTACAAAACATCAAAACTCTCTATTATAGAAAGTGAACTCTTGGAATATGTTTTTGAATCATTTCATTTATTTTGTACCAATGGCCATATGCAGCCACAGAGATCTGCAAAACAGCGTCACTTATTTTCTTTAGCAATTGGGAAGCATTGATGTTTAAGCCATGTATGGGACAATTTCATGATGTCCTACTTGTTTTCTGGGTTACACAGATAAAAGGTGGCCATATATAAAATGGTTTTCTCTCCTAAGGTCATTACTGATTGGATAGGACAAGATTAGAAATATGTTACTCCAGGTTTTAATTTTCTTTATTTCTAGGGACAAAATTTGACTGAGACTTGGACCAAGGATTAAGTTTAGTGCATTTTCTTACATGTTAGTAATCTTGTCTATGATCAATAAATTTATGCTTTAAAGGGATTTATTGAAATCCTTTGTTTTCCTTTTTATAAACACATCTCTATTTATTGAACCACTCCAAGGGAAAAATGACTTCAAACTGGGAAGTTTCTCTTGGCTCCTCATTGTCTCCTTCCTTACTCCTGCTTCCCCTTTTCTCTCTTCTCTTCTGACAAGTTCTGTCCAAATTTCCAAACACGATTCTCCATGTTCTTTCCCTGAATCCACCAAGAGATAAACAGAAGATAAGCCTATAATTGTTTTCATCAAATCAGAACCATCATCACACATATAGGGGATATCAAGAAGTTGTAAGGGAACATTGATCTTAGAAATGCTTTAGGGCATGCCAAGCAGAAGAAATTATTTCTGAATTTAAAAATAGCCAACACAACTTGGAAAATATGATAATATTTATTCATGATAATAAATGCATTTTAATGAAAGCCATGGATGTCCAAACACAAACTGAACCATGACAACCCAATGGCCCTTTTTTTTTTTTTACAAAAACCATGATATATGACGCATTAATTTGCTAATTGATATGAATGCAGAGAAAGAATGAATCAAAAACACTAAAACTTTTTAAACACTTCATCTAATATAGATATCAGCTCTGAAAATGGCATTCAAAAATGGTCCCCTTGTTTGAACTTCAGCTGCTGAGTTTTCGTTATTGTGTCTTTACAAATCTCTTTAAAGCTTTGTTATCATTTATTTCAACACAACACTTCTTGTACTTTGGCTTGGCTTTCCATGGAATACTGAATCCTGTCATATTATTACTAATTTAGGAAGCTATACAATGTTATTTGTAAATATATGGATCTAAAAGGGCCATCATAAATTTCCTATGAACCATGTAGTATATAGATATATGTATGATATAGTACATAATGGATGGCCAGAAAAATTATATATGTATCTTATTTATGTTTGTTCCTGATAACTTCAGACTTCTAAATTAAATTCAATATTTGGAAACATTTAAAAGTTTGTTAGAGATTGAAGTTTCTGTTCTTAAGTACCATCAAATCAGATGCCTAAAGAGTTATTATGTTTCAAAAAAAATAATGACTTCATTCTTTCCAAAGAGTAATTCGTACCCATTTGATATCCTACAAAACTCAAATCAGTTGCACAATTTCCAAATAATATTTTCTTATTAGCTATTGTAAACCTATTCATTTAAGTTGTTTTTTAAATCAAATTAATCAAAATCTGTAAATTAAAAAAGTTAAGTTTTATAAATAAAATTCCAAAAGGAAAAGGCACTTAGGCTCTGCACATGGTTATTTCAGTTTATATTCTCCATAACCCTAATCACATTAATTAGGGAATTAATTTCTGGCCTGCATACAATAAATACAGCAAAGTGCCAGATTAAAACCAAATCGCAATGCTTATGGAAAAGAATCAAGTCGGTCACCTGAAGTTTCTAAGGAACTTTGGAGACTGCAATGGAAATCTGAAGTGTATATTGGTATATTGTCAATATCAAGTGCAGGAAAGGTATAAGGCTATTGCAGACATTCTGTTACTTTATTGACAAAAAAGCTAAAACGATTGCTGTAACAGTAAAGCTTGGCAAGATAATTAAATGAATGATAACAAAAATCTCAGCAGGGAAGTGCCCATTAATTGAATTTATTTGGGAGAATGTTTTCACAAGTATAACCAAATTATCTAATTTTCACTCACATTAAAAAGTGATAGTCTGTAACAACTAATTACTGGAAATGAAGGAAAAGGCCAGTACTTTGAATCAACACCACAGACAGAAATAAAATTACTAACATCAAAGGATTTCTATGATGTTTCAMAACTTCCTAAAAACTCCACTCATATTGTCCCGTGAAAGTATTTCAGTGAAACTCGCCAAGGAAAAGAATCCCAGTAATTTCTATGTAGTAGTGTCTTTAAAGCTGGAACATATTTACTACATTTCTTCTATCCTTTCTTGACAATAATATGCATTTGAATATGAATATACCAACAGGTGAAATAACTGTCATTATCTAACATTTTTTACATACAGCCATTGAAATTTGGCATTTCATTTCTGTAAGAAAATTATTGCCATCTTGTTTTCCTGCTTAGTAAACATGGTTGATTATATATATATATATATATATATATATATATATATATATATATATATATATATTAATGTTGCTCTTTTCAGGTTATACAGATTAAGAAGTCTGAAATAAAGAATTTTTTGGTCAACATTTAAATTCTATTGAGAAATGAAATTATCCACACTCATTTCATTTGAGTTGAAAAGATGTCTCCAAATTGGGTATTTGTAACATTTTAGCAAATTATGCTCCAATTTGCATAAAATTAATGATGAAATTTATTAAATACCTGTACTAGTAAATCAGATTTTGTTCATAGTTTAATAAAAATTTAAAACTATGAAATCTGTCATTTTAACATTTTTAACCTCATACTCTAAAACAATATTATTCTAATAAATGTTTGGCAAAAAGTTTATAGAAAAACAAAACAATAAAATAAAGTTCATTTTGGCTTAATGTTTATATAAATTCTAAGCAGCCTTGCTTAGGTTACAATTTAATCGAATCAAGAAAATCTGAATTAATAAATAATGCCAAAATATTCTTTTATTTTTAGTACTTACTTTTTTTCCCTAAAGGAGGCTATTATCTAAATAAATACATTTTAAGCATATTGATTAAAATTTATTAAGAGTATTCAAATTAGTCCTTGCATTTAAAAATTTATGTTGCAGCTTTGAAAACAGTTCTTAATGTTCTGCTTAATGTGGGATATCGTTTCTCATCCAGAAAACTAGAGGCTGTGATTATAAAACTAACAACTAACACTCATTCACAATGACTTTACCAATTGACTTGAGAAGAGCAATAAAACCTGGCTGCTCTGCCTTCTGCAAAGTTGATGCTACTTAAATTTTAGAGAAATAAACAGGGTAATTCTTTTTTCCCCCAATTTTAACATGAAGTAGAAGTCAGATACGTTACAGATAGGCAGGTTTACAGATAAAGGTACAGTAGGGAGAAATTTGGCCATCAGTACAACATAATAGAATGTTTGGTTTTGCCAGGTGGAAGTAATGCCTATGAAGGTATTCATATATTGTCTTACTCTGCTGTCATTTCTAGTTCTGTTTTTATCTTTTGTTTACTCAATATAGTAAAAGACAGTCTTCTGATTAAACAATATTTCAGATGCTAAGCAATTCCTTTTATTGGTTTACATTGGCAGTTCACAGTCTAAAAGCATAACCACATCAGGCAAAGACTGAATGTAGACCACTCTGGATTTTGAAGACTCTGGATTTTTTGGCTTCTAACAGAGATTTTTATTTGAAATTATGGAGCCATATCTGCATTTTACAGAAGGTTCATAATTGGGAGGAGAAATTGTAATCAAAGAAATTCCTTGAAATAAACTTTTATCTTTTAGTATAATTTAATGTCTTGCACAGCAATTTAAGTTCTCTTTCAAGGATAATTTTCTATCTGCTACTTTATGACAACTTAATTACCCTTATATTATGAAGTTAAATTTTCTTTCTTTCTTTTTCTTTTCTTTTTTTTTTTTTTTTTTTTTTTTT